AGTGGGCAGGTGCAGTCGGGAGCAACGAGAACAAGAGAACGAGCCGCAAAAAAAAACTGCTGTCGCGATGCGCCGCGCCAGGCCCGCGAACTTGGCACGCTCAGAGTGAGCTTCCTGGCAGGCTGGTCACGCGATCTGCCCTCCAAGCGAGCTGACACGCCGGCAGTGCACTGCACTGGCCACCCGACGTGCCGGGCCCGCGACCGGGCACGCCTGGAGCGAGCGCCGTGGCAAGGCTGGCAGCGCGATGTGCGCTTCAAGCGGGCGGGCGCGCCTGGAGGGAGGGGGTCTCCTGGCCCGTAGCCTGGCAACGCGATGGCCCATGTGGGCGAGCGGGCACGCTTGGAGCGAGGTTCCTGGCAACGGCCCGCGCAGTGCGCGTGAGCCGCCGCACGTTTGGAGTGAGCCTCCTGGCATCAGAGCACTGGCTACGCGATGTGCGCGGCAAGCGACCGGGCACGCTCGCAACGAAAGTCCTGGCCTGCCTCCTGGCAAAAACATCCGCTGGGAAGGAGCGGGCACGCGTGGAGTGATCCTCCTGGCAAGCTTCCAAGCAATAAGGTTGGCCACGCGATGTGTGCCGCGAGCAGGCACGGCCAGAATAAGCTTCTTGGCAACAGCGCTGGCCAAACGATATGCCGTGCCCTCGAGCAGGTACGGTTTGAGCGAATTTCCTGGCAGCTACCCGAGTCACGCGATGTGCGCCGCAAGGGAGCAGGCACGCTCGGAGTGAGTTTCCTGGCCTGCCTCCTGGCAACATTATTGGCCACGCGGTGGCTGCCAGGAGCGATCGGGCGCGCTTGGAGTGAGCCTCGTGGCAATCATGCGCGCTGGTCACGCGAAGTGCGGCGCAAGCGAGCGGGCACGCAAGAGAAGACCACAGGAGGTTCAACAGAGGGACATGGAAGGGACACCACCCAAAAGCACCTGTGCTGCGGGAGGTGCTGGGCAAACCTCGACAGTCATCAATGGTTTTGACAATGGCTGGCCTCCTGGATCGGGGGTTGGGAAGTGACATCGCAATGGAACGAAGAACCCCCCACCGGGAAATTGGTTTCGGTTTCGTCTCCGCGTCGTGCGTGCGAGGCGAAGCTGCGTGGGCACGAAGAATGATGCCGCCTCCCCCCCCCAGCGCGCAATGGCCTGGATTATCCCGTCGTTGGCGTGGTCGGTGTCCCGTCGGTGTCCCGTCGGTGTCCCGTCGGTGTTCGGTGTCCCGGAGCAGGGCGGCGCGAGTCAGTGTCCCGGAGCAGAGCGGCGAGATCGATAGTGAGATCGTTTGGGAGGCCGATAGTGGAATCGACAGTGAGATCTGCTGTGAGGTCGGTGGTGAGATCGCTTGTGAGATCTATAGTGGGATCGACAGTGATATCAATCATGATATCGATTGTGAGATCGCATGAGATATCGATTGTGAGACTGATAATGAGAACTGTTCTGATATCGATAGTAGGAACCTATGAGAGATCGATAATGAGTTCGCTTGTAAGATTGGCGGTGACATCGGTTGGAAGATCGATAATGCGATATGTTGTGAGATCGGTCGTGCGATTGGTTGTGAGATCGATTGTGAGATCGATACAGATCGAATGTTAAATTTGTAATGAGATCAATAGATCGTCGCGAGACGATCATAGTGAAAGTCGAGGTGAGATCAACCATGAGATCTCAATAAGTGATGCGACATCGTGTGAGACCAACAGTGAAAACGACAAGAGATCGAACACAACGGATACCACTATCGATTGGTCCTTTTCGTACCGGCTCCGGCGATGGAGACTATTGCTATCGTAGTCGCGGGGCCCAAGAACGCTTCACGCACGATCTCTGCCACCACCTGCTCGATGTCTGCGGGCGGCGCGCGCCCTTTCGCAAGTCCTGCCTCGCCGCCCGGGTCTGCCATCGGTGCCCCGCTGGGCTCTGCCAGCGGTGCCTGGCATGGTGGGTGGCAGAAGCAGCGGCTCAAGTACGCCGAGAACTCCCGAGGGGGGGCTCGTGGAGCTCGCGCCCAGCTGCGTCCTCGTGGGCCAGCAGCTCCCCGATGCACTTGGCAAGGTTCCGAGGGTGGCGCGCGCAGCGTAGCATCTAGCCAAGGCATCCCAGAATCACTTGGCAGCCACTACATGTATTATTGAGGTGTCGGTTTATGTACCAGGAAATCCAGCAAGAAACTTTGGAATTCGAGCCCGCGCAGAAAAAACACACTACGGACCCCGCAGCGCCTTGGACGGTCACGGCGTGCTTCAAGGAACCGCCGCATGGCATGGATGCAGAGGCCTGGCGGATCCTGCTCCACGTAGTCCGGCGGGGAGCTCCTGCCACAGCACGCGTTCGCTTACTGTGCGGAAGCGCCGGCGAAGGTGGGCGCCGAAATGGCGGGAGATGGGCTGCCACCGTGCCAAGGGTCTCCGAAGCGAAGTCGAAGCGCTGCAGAAGTGATAGAGCCGAACCCAAAGCAGGAGCCAAGCTTCTGCCAGCCCTGCCAAGCCGTTCCCGCATCGCTGCGGAAGTGGGCGCACCGATCCCGAAACAGGAGCCAGGCTCTGCCAGCTTTGCCAAGGTCAATACCGCATGATCACAAGACACCCCCAATAGCAAATCATTCAAATGAATTCTCGTGTCTAGGCTTGTCGTGGGGTGCGCAGACGCGCTGGCGCACTCGGCACCGACGCGCACGCGCGCGATTGTCGAACTCGTGTGACTTGCATGTCGATGCGCTGTCACGGGCACGGCGGGGTAGTGCATTTCCCTCGCTCCAAGTTGATCGCGGAGGGAAATCATGACACATGTTTGTCTGGGGCGGCGCTCCCCACATCTGAAATTCAAACTGCCCCTGCCTGAAATTCAGATTGCCCCCGCCGGGGGCTCGGGCGAGGCATTGTGCCTGAGACTGCTGCACATAAATGATTCAGATTGGCCTTGGCCCGGTCTGAAATTCAGATTGGCCCGGTCTGAAATTGAGATTGGCCAGGTCTGAAATTCAGATTGCTGAGGTCTGAGTTTCAGATGAGGTGCCTCAGCATGGAAGAATTATTCGGTTTGGTGCCGCTGCCCTCGGGACGAACGTGGTCGATGTTTGCTCTCCTGCGTGGTCGCGACATGGGACATGAGTGTTCTTGCACTTCTGTTAGGGTAGCTGGCACTCGAAGCCCCGATGTTCCCATGGACGTGGCGCGCCTTGCGGATGCCTGTAAAAATGAGAAGCCGATTTTTCATGTTGGGGGGTGTCTGGTGATGACCACGTAGTCACAAGGCGCTGCCACATTCTGTCCACAATGCGGCCACCTCTGCGAAGGCAGATGCTGGTCCGGACCAGGCTCTGCTAGCCCACCGATGCCCCTGGCGCATGCGCCCGCGGCTGAGCAGCCGCCACTTGAGTCGTGGCGACGCACGAGCGGCGCTTGAGGAAGAGTTCACACGTTGGGGAGGTAACGAGGATGCTCGCGTGTGCGCTGCTGCCGCTGACGTGCACGCAGAGTTGGGCGCTCCCTGCACCGAGGACACGGAGGCGCAGCGCGAACGGTCGGCGGACATAGCCTCTGGTTGGCTCGCGCTGTCCGCGGCGCCGGCCGCCGACTTGCCTTGGCGCGCGAGGATCACGCAGGTAGGAAAAAATGGCAGAGAGTCCACAAGCGGCCGAAGCTCGCGCCATGCAGATGCAGTGGGGTTTTGCATGTCCGCGACTGGCTTTGGAGGTCGCAGACCAGGCTCTGCAAGTGTTTCGGCCACCGCCGTCGCCTCGGGAGCCTCGGCTGCGCCTTCAGAAAGGAAGTGGCACTGGACGGACAAGGAGCAGGAATGCCAGTGCGTCGGCCGCCGCCGTCGGCTCGGGTTCGGAGGTCGCGGCACCAGGCTCCGACAGTGCGACGGCCGCCACCATCGGCTCGGGGACCACGGCCGCGCCCTCGCACAAGGACTTGATCGAGAAGCTCTCCGACGGAAGGCAGCTGCGGGAGCGACCAGCCGTGGCGCCACGCGACCAGGGTGTTGGCGATGCCGCTCGCCCAGCCGACGCCGCGCAGGACGGTGCTGCGGAGATTCCATGGGGCGGTCTCTCTTGACTCCTAGTGTGTCTCGATCGCGCCGTCCCTCATGTCTGGAGCGCGCCGGGCGGAATGACAAACAACAGCACTCATCGCGACCTGCAGCATCATCACCACGCGTCGCTGTTGATTCGAGGGCGCATCACCAGCGTAGTTCTCATCACAATCACCAAGATTGCAATCAGTTGGCTCTTTTCCCCCTAAACACCTCCTTTATCACCCGCAGGGTGGTCGTGTAGGCAGTTTCAAGGTGACCAGCTGGCAGTCCAAGAGGCCGCCAGAACACTTCAAACAGACACCCAACATGGCCCTTGCCATGCCGCCGGGGACGTATCGTCTGCTGCAAAAGTCCTCCGCCCCATCGTGATCCGACCTGGCCACGACGCCAGACAAGCCCTGGGGACTGCGCGCGTGCAGACACCCCCCCCACCACTCTGTCCTCCCTCCCTCCCGTCTTGTCTGCCTTCCCCGCCCCCAATCCCACCACACCCCACTCGCCTGCCCCCCCTCCCACCTCCGGCAGCCATCCTTCCACAGAGGAGCAGGACCAGGAACAGGATGCAGCGCTGCGGGTGGTCCCGCGCCTGTGCCCCCTGGAGGGCAGCCGGGCTCGCTGAATGAAAAACAACACCGAGAACCAATCTGCGCAGCGCCAGGGCCGCCCGGTCCAGCAAACACCTTTGAAGGGGCCCCAGGACACACAAACAAATACACACAGATAAAAGTATGCCCCACATTTTCCCCCATATTTCCTGGGTTTTCGTCTGCCGCCCAATACCCATAGTTCCCCATATTTTCTTGGGGATCGACGATTAATTGTGTCTGTGTGTTTTTCCCCTCCTCAATCTTCCCAGAGGAGCAGAGAGGAAGGGGGGCCGCGGAGAGAGGCCGGGAGGCCACGGAGGAAGCCGCGGGCGCCGCGCAGCGCGGAGGGGGCGCTCCGCAGGGCGGCGGGGCCCCGCCTCGGTGGCGAGGGACCCGAGGCACAGGGGCGTGACGAAGGCGCCGCCGATGGCCTTCGACAGCGCGACCTGCCCAACTAGGGCGACGAAATCTATACATATCCACTGCTCCCTGGCCAGGCCCATCCTCAACCCGGCAGCGGTGTATACGCCACGCCCTCCTGGCTTGGCCAGGAGGGCGCATACACAGCTCCTGGGTTCAAGATGGGCATGGTCAGGGAGCAGTGGATATGTATAGATTTCGTCGCCCGACCAACCCTCGCACCATGCGCGGGTGCCGCGAGGGACGGGGGGAGACCTGCAGTCAAAATCCCTAACAGGGACGCGCGGCAAGGACGCAAGGCCCTCGGAAGCCGAAGTTGGGGATTTTGGGGGGCGGCGGGCGACGGAAACCCCGAGGACGCAAGAGCAAGGAAGGGCAAGGACGCAAGGGTACCCTGAGCAAAGTCGCTCGTCCTTATTAGGGTTTTGGACTGTATAGCCAAGCCGCGTGGGGACAGCGACGATGAACAGCTGCACCAACACCACCACCACCAACGGCAAGCGGGAGGAGGAGGAGGGCGACGGCGACGACGCAGTCGAGGAGGACGAGGACGAGGACGACAAGATGACGCATCCACAGTCGTAGGAGGAGCGTAAAGCTGAACAAACATAAGCCCTCGGAGGTCCACCCGGACCTGTTGGATCGGCGGTGGGCCAGGGGTGGCGCCGGAGGCGCCGCCAGGGGGCCCAGCGCTGATCCAGGAGGAGCTCCGAAAAGGCATGGAAATGCCACTCCGCTCTCCAGACCCGGCCACACGCACACAGACGGACGGACGGACAGGACGACGGCACAGCAAGAGGCAGGCAATTTGGACGCCCGAAGTGGGTACGGAAAGAATGGGTACAATGCCCAACAGCAAATGTTGTCCCAAACCAACAGCGGCCGCTGTTGGGCAGGCGGCCTTCTGCCTCGAATGGACACAGGCCGCGGCGGCGTGGACAGCGAACCCTGCTCAAAATGAACAGGAACTGCTGTTGGGCATCGCACCCATTCTTTCCGTACCCATCTCGGGCGTCCAGAACAGCAAGAGGCAGGCAAGGCTCGCAGGGCAGGGCAGAGGACCCCGGCGGACCTCGTCGGCCCCGAGCGTGCAGCCGTACAGCCTGCCGGGGGCGGGGGCGGGGGCAGGGCGCGCGGGCGCGGGCGGCAGACGCGGAGGCGACGCGCCGGCCGGTCGCGCGGGGCAGGCCTCCAAGGCGAAGGCAAAGAGGAGGAGGAGCTCGGGCGAGGGGGCAGGGCTCCAAGACGAAGGCAAGAGGAGGAGGAGGTCGGACGGGGGGGGGCAGGGCTCGAGCAAGAGCTCGGTGATCCCGAGAGCGCGCGCCGGCGCCAACGCGTGCTCGTCCACCGAAGCCCTTCAGGACGACGCAGGGGAGGTGCGGCGAGGGCCGACACGGGCCGAGCGGGGCAACACACAGCGAGATCACACGCGTCCAGAGGACCATCGAGGAAGAGCGTTTTCCATCTTCGAGGGGCAGCTGAACAGAAACGGCCCCGGAGTCACCAAAACACCGTCTAGCTCGAGCCCTGTCAGGGGGGATTGGGGGGGGCCAGCACATGTGGGGATAGGGGAGCTGTCTCTGCAGGCCAGGCCTCCCAGACAGAGGCAGGATGAGGACAAGTTCGGACGACGGGAGACGACAAGGGGGGGGGGGGGGGAACTGGCTCCCGGGGGGCACCGCCGGGGGGGGTGGGGGGGGGGGCAACGCTGACTTCGAATCTGCGATGCATCGCCGACCGATCGGCGATAGGCCCTCGACAGCCCAACCGCGCTGCCGGCTGGGTCCCCCGTCGAGCCGACCGGCGATGCATGGGCGATCGGGGGTCGATGCGTCCCCTCTTGGGCCACGGCCCCCCTGTCCTGTCGTTGGCCCTGAGATGAGGATCACGCCGGAACCTCTGAGAGCCGTCGGGCCTGGAGGATGGACGCATCGGGCGCCGGGGGCCTCCTCCACCCCGCGCCCACCAGCGCCTCGGCTCGGCTCCAGCAGCCTTCAGCAGAGCGGTTCGGGTGTCACGCACATGCGCGTGCTGATCCGGATGCACGAGCATCGAGCCAGGCGGGCTCCGTTCCCAGCCCTGTTCCCTCCCTCACCTTCCACGATGCGGCCCCCCGTCTCCCCACCCCCTGCGTCCCCCCATTCGTTCGCCCTTCATGATGTAGATCGCCCAGGCGGACGGCTACCCTAGGCCCTACCCAAAGTTCACGCCAGCTTCATGAGCTGCTCCCAGCATCCAATCAAGCCGCGGAGAATGAGCGTGCTGCCTGGACCTCTGAGTGCCAGACTAGGCCAGATACGAAAGAGCAGGATGCACTACGACAAAATCAGATGTGCAATTTAGAGGTACGTGCCCAACGCTTCACCATCTTTTCATAATGAGGATTCCTCCTAGACTTGTTGTCATGAAACCATGCCTTCGGCATGTCATACAAGTCAGACAAGCTCGAGAGGCTTGCATGGCTCAGAACGCTCTCTAGCAAGTAATGCCCTGAACCTTCGAGCGTGGCAACAAAAATCACAGTGGCTCGCCTCTGCTGTTATTGAAGAACTGTCGTGCGTGATGTCGTTCGGCCGCTCTCCAGCTTCAGGCCAGGCCAGACGCTACTGCAATTTCCCAAACAATAATCAAGATTGGCGCAGCCATTGTTTGTGCGCTTTCCCTCGCCACAAGGATCTGGTCAAACTTATGCGATATCAGGGAGGTGTAGGAAGATGAGTCCACTTGAGCCAAGGTGGCTTGAGCCAAAGTGGCCACGGTTGTGGGAGCTCTCTTGGGCTCTTTCTTGGAGCTCTCCTGGGCCTCGTCTTGAACCTCTCCTGGGGCTACGTGAGAGCTCTCTTGGCGCTCTCCTTAAGGGGGGGTCCAAAGGGCTCCTCGGAAGCGTTCAGAAGCTCCCAGCGGAGCATAAGCCGGGCAGATCGATCCGTATTTCCGTTGTCGGCCCTCCGCCGCCATGGCGCCCTCTGGGAGCCTCTTGGGCCTCTCCTGGAGCTCTCCTGGGCCTTTGTTGAGGGCACTTGGGGGCGGCATCGTTCGGCCTCTCTCGGCGTTCTTTTGGGGCCATCTCTCTGTTGCGCTGCATTCTGCTGCACTGCATGCTCCGAGTTATCCCTGATGAAGGCACCTCGCCTAGGCACCCTGTCTCGGTGGGCTCGTGGGCATATGCAAAGCGTCGAAGATAAAGCCAGGTCAGGGGCCTCACGTGGAGCTCTCTTGGGGTCCTCCTGGAGCTCGTTTGGGCTTCCCGTGGGGCCCTGAGCCGGGCCCAAGGGGCCTCAAGACAGTTCCAAGAGGGCCCTCAGACGGCTTCAAGATGGCTGTAAGACAGGTTCAAGAAGTCCTCCTTGCGCGCAAAGCCCAACTCCATGCATAGAGTTGGGCCCCTTCGGCTTTCTGGAGGGTTTCGGAGCTCACGTGGAGCTCTCTGCGGGTTTTCTTGGGGATCGTTTGCGCTTTTCGTAGGGCTCTCAGATGGGAACAAGTGGGCTACCGCTGGGATTTCCCTGGGCTCTTAGTGGGCCGTAAAAAAGCAGCAAGGGACGCCGAAGAGGGACTCCAGAGGGAGCCCCCATTAGGGCTTTCGTGCAGTTTTCTGGGCACTCCCGGGCTTTTCTTGGGCTTTTTTGGGCTTGTCTGGGGAACGAACGCTTCGGATCAACTCGGCCAGGACGAACTCGGCTGGCTCAACTGGGCCGGGATCACAGCGCCAGGATTGACACGGCCGGCTCAACTCGGACCCAGACGAACTCGGCTGGGTCCTCTCGGCTGGGACTCAATTTGGCCCAGATCAACTCGACCAGGCGTCAACTCGGCCAGGCGTCAACTCGGCTGGGGTTCAACTCGGCCCTGCTCAACTCGGCCGGGCCTCCGCCTGCGGCGGGTTGCTGAAATCAACTCGGCTGGCTCAACTCGGCCAGCTCAATTCGGCCAGGATGAACTCGGCCAGTCCGAACTCGGCCAGGCTCAGCTCGGCCAGCCTTGAGCTCAGCCGCTGGCCGAGTTGAGCCTGGCCGAGTTCGGCCTGGCCGAATTAAGCTTGGCCGAGTTGAGCTGAATTGGGCCTGGCCGAGTTGAGCCTGGCCGAGTTCGACCAGTAGGCCCTACCCAACGGCCAAGGGTAGGGCAAGGGTAGGGCCTACCCAAGGGCCCAACCTCTGCCGCCGCCTCCTCATCCTCCTCCTCTTCTTCCTCCTCCTCCTCTTCCTCCTCCTCATCCTCCTGCTCTTCCTCCTCCTCCTCCTCCTCCTCCTGCTCCTCCTCCTCCTCCTCCTGCTCTCTGTAGACCCCCCCTCTGTAACCCCCCCCTCTCTAGACCCCTCCTCTGTAGACTCCCCCTGTGTAGACACCCCCTCTCCAAATCCCACTTTTGTAAACCCCCCTCTCTAGACCCGTCCTCTGTAGACCCCCCCGTCTGTAGATCCCCCCCTCTCTAGACACCCCCTTCTAGGCCCCCCCTCTGTAGACCCCCCCTCTCCAGACCCCCCCTCTGTAGACCCTCCCTTTTGTAGACCCCCCCTATAAACGCCCCCTCTGTCGACCCCCCCTCTGTAAGGCCCCCCCTCCCTGTAGACACCCCCCCCCCCTCTGTAGACCCCCCCTCTGTAGATCCCCCTCTCCAGACCCCAATATCTAAACCCCCCCTTCTCCAGAGCCCCCCTCTGTAACTCCCCTCCATCCGCCCTCGTTCCCATGCCCCCCTCACATCCCCTCCTACCTCCCGTCCTGCGGGACGGGAAAATGACCACATCCACAGCTTCTTGTTTGCGCCGCCTTCTAGCCGGCCGAAAAAGAAGCAGTGGTTGTGGTCATTTCCCTGGTGCCAAGCTCAACGAAATTGACCACAACCACCGCTTTGTTTCTGCGGGCTGGAAGGCGGAAACAAAAGAAAAGCAGTGGCTGTGGTCGTTTTCACGCCCCGTACGTCCTCCCTCCCTCCCTCTTTCCTGCCTCTCTCATCTATCCTTCCTTTGTCCAGCGGAATCGGATCCGTAGACGGAAGACGACGGCGCTGCATCGGAAGAACACCGACGAGCGGGTCGGGTCACAGAGTGGGGCCGGGCATGGGCACGGCCTAGGCGCATGGGAAGGGCCCAGGGTGGGGCTAGGGGCAGGCCCCGTGGTAGCCCTCGGGCTAAAGACAGGGCCTAGGGCAGCATTAGAGGTAGCCCTGGGGCCTCCTCCTCCTCCTCCCCCTCCTCCTCCTCCCTCCTCCTCCCTCCTCCTCCTCCCCCTCCCCTCCCCTTTCCCTCCCCTCCCCTCCCCCTCCCCCCTCCTCCCCCTCCCCCTCCCCCTCCCCCTCCCCCTCCCGCTCCCCTCCCCCTCCCCCCCCTCCCCCCTCCCCCTCCCCCTCCCCCTCCCCCCCCCCCCCCCCTCCCCCCCCCTCCCTCTCCTCCCCTCCTCCTCCTCCTCCTCCTCCTCCTCCTCCTCCTCCTCCTGCTCCTCTCTCCTCCTCCTCCTCCTCCTCCTCCTCCTCCTCCTCCTCCTCCTCCTCCTCCTCCTCCTCCTCCTCCTCCTCCAACCAACCTCGAAACATTCCGACATCACGTGCCCAACCCCCCCAGCGGATCCAGGGGGCGCGATTATTGCCCAGCCAGAGTAGGGCTGCCCTAGAGGTAGCCCTGGGGCAACGCCTAGGGTAGCACCATGGATGGACCCCGGGATAGGCCTAGAGTGGGCCCCAAGGTAAACCAAGGTTAGGCCCGAGGAGTCGACCTAGGAGTAGACTTTGGGGTAAGACCGAGGGGTAGGCCTCTAGGAGTAGGCCTTGAGGCAGGCCCTGGGGAAAGCCTAGGATAATCCTGGGGATAGGCCCTAGAGGTAGGCTGATGGTAGGCCTAGGGGTAGGCCCCAGGATAGGCCTAGGGTGTGCCTAGGGGTAGGCCCTAAGGAAGCAGGGTAAACCTCGGGATAGACCCAGGGGTAGGCCCTCCCCAAGGCCTAGGGTCTACCCCTAGGCATACTCTAAGCCTTGCCCAGGCGACCTATATGCACTAGTCCTCCCGCAAGAGGCCTCCGCAATAAGCGAGGGCAACCGCACCGCATCGCCAACGCATCGCCGACGCATTAGCGCCTTCGGGATGGAGGAACTCGGCGCCCAGTTGTCGCCGCATTGCCAGTGATTGCCCCATTTACGATACTTGGGAATTGCCCACTGATGTTAGTGGTAGTGGTAATGCCAAGGCACAAACGCAAGCGGCTGCTCTGACCAACCATGATAACAAGGATGAATGCAACACACCACGTGGGTGAGAGTAGCACAGATGTGTCCCCCATACCTCCGCCCCTGACTTCTTTACCCGCAGCATGCCAGTCCTCTCTTTCTCTCTCTCTCTCTCTCGCTCGCTCTCGCTCCCTCCTCCACGGAGCAGAGCAAGATATCTCTGCAGGCAACTCTGGGCGTCCTTCCGCGCAGGAGAGACGTGGCGAACAGCGCGAAGATGAGAAGGAAAAGGCAGGCCACGATCACCAGGGTGAAGAGGTCCTCGCAGCAGCAACCATCGGGGGCCCTTGCCACCCCTTTGCGTGCCTAGACTGCAACCCATGAGCAGTCCTCCTGCCGCCTCCTACTCCCCATCCTCCACATCCTCCTCCCTTCCCGGCATTCACACTCCCTCCTCGCCCTCGTCATCCTTATTCTCGTTCCGTCTCCACCATATTCCTCCCCATCCCGCTCCTCGTCCACCTCGCAATCCTCACAGTCGTCGTCGTCAGCATCATCCTAATCAACAGCAAACACCGGCATACTCATCATCAGCAGCAGTATCACCATCAGTATCAGCATCACCAACATCATCACCATCATCATCACCAACAGGATCCTCAGCATCAGCATCAGCATCAGCATCATCATCATCATCATCATCATCATCATCATCAGCAGCAGCAGCAGCATCCGCATCATCACCATCATCATCATCATCATCATCATCATCATAATCATCATCATCATCATCGTCATCAGCATCATCAGCATCATCAGCATCAGCATCATCAGCATCAGCATCATCAGCAGCATCATTATCACCAGTATCATCATCATCATCATCATCATCATCAGCATCATCATCATCATCATCATCATCCAAATCGTCACTGTCATCATAAGTCACAGCGGCGCAACCGTATATCTTGATACAATGACCATCGGCACACTCAGCATCATGACCACCATCACACTCATCACAAGCATACCCACCACCACGCTTGTCATCCACCTCATCCACCTCTAATCAACATCATCATCATCATCATCATCATCATCATCATCATCATCAGCAGCATCATCATCATCATCATCATCATCATCAGCACGATCATCGTCGTCATCATCATCAGCAGCATCATCAACATCAGCATCACCATCAACATCATCATCACCACTCACATCGTCCCCGTCAGCATCGGTATCCTCGTCATCGTCATCACCATGACCGTCGCCATCGTCATCGTCATCGTCACCATCGTCTTCATCGTCACGAGCATCATCAACAGAATCATCATTAACACTGCTCGAAAACAGCATCCTCATCACCATCACCATCAGCATCCCAAAAATCCTGATCATCATCAGCATCATCATCAGCAGCAGCAACGTCGGCGCCATCGTAACCGCCATCATGAACATCAACATAATCGTGCATCCCATCCTCAACCTCCTCTTCGCCTTCCCCATTCCACCTCCTTATCAGCATCAGCATCGCTATCAACATCACCATCATCATCGTCATCATCGTCAACGCCGTCATCAGCATCATAATCATCATCATGATCGTCATGATCAGCATAGTCATCAGCATCAGCAGCATCACCACAATCAGCATCACCATCTTCAGTTTCAACAGAACCATCATCATGATCATCATCAGTAGCAGCATCATCATCATCATCATCATCATCATCATCATCAGCATCAGCATCATCATCATCGTCATCATCGTCATCATCATCATCATCATCATCATCATCATCATCGTCACCAGCATCATCATAATAGGCCATCACCATCATCAGCGACACCATCATCTGCCTATTATCATCGTCCTCGTCACCATCACCAACACCTTCATCATCATCACCGTTACAATCATCGTCACAACTCATCGCCATCATCTTGCTCAACAGCATCAGCATTACCATCATCATAATCAGCATCATCTGTAGTGTCATCATCAGTCTCATCAGCATACGAATCCTCTAGATCATCATCAACAGCATCATCATCAATATCCTCATCATGTTCATCATACTCAGCATCCTCGTCATCCTCATCATCGTCCTCATCGTCACCATCCTCATCCTTATCACCATGACCATCGTCATCAACAGCATCATCATCACTTTCATATGCAACATGCTCATCATGGTCATCAGTATCATCATCGTCACCATCATCAACAACAACATCCGATCCACATCCGATATGCCACTCCTGCTCCCCTCCTCATCCGCCCGTCCCTGCAGGTGGAACTTCCTCTTAAGCCTCACCCCTCCCTCCTCACAACTCCTCCCCGTCCCCTCCAACGCCTCCTCCTCCTTCCTTCCGTCCCCCTCCCCCGCTGCCCCATCATCTCCCACGCCTTCACCTCGGCGTTTTTGAAGACTTTGCGCTCTGCCCGGAGCCCATTTAACGACAAGGCCCCGAGACGACGAGATGGGCCAGGGCAGCCAAACCACGGGCCGAGAACCCGGAGGGTTCCAAAGGGGGTTTTCGGGGAGGGGTCCCCCAGGGGCTGCGCACCCCCTGTTTTGACGAGGCCCCGAGGCCCCTGGGGGACTCTCTGGAAAGCCCCCTCCCCCAGAACCACCCTTGGAACCCTCCGGGAGCACGAGCGACGACCTGGTGGGGGGGGGCCATCGCTCGGACGTCCATTCCCTGTGTTTTTTTCGGTTTCGCGCGTGGCTTTTTCGCCAAAGGATCAAGGATGCTCCTCGATGGTCCTCGCCGACGAAAAAACGCACACGTCCGAGCGATGCCAAAGGGGGGGGGGGCCGATGGGCCGACGCCCACACAAAGCCAAGGCAAAAACGCGCCGCTCCCCCCGGCGCGGGGCGGGGAGGCGAAGGCGGAGAGCCGGCCGCTCCGCCCTCCGCCCTCCGCGTGGCACGCTGGAGGGCTGCGCCCTCTGCGCTGGCGGGCGCGGGGGGAGCGAGAAGGCGCCACTCTGCACCTCCTCCTCCTCCTCCTCCTCCTCCTCCTCCTCCTCCCTCCTCCTCCTCCTCCTCCTCCTCCCTCCTCCTCCTCCTCCTCCTCCTCCTCCTCCTCCTCCTCCTCCTCCTCCTCCTCCTCCTCCTCCTCCTCCTCCTCCTCCTCCTCCTCCTCTTTCGCCTCCAGCAGGGCGCCCGGGAGATCCGGGCATCACGCCCCACGTCGCCGCGGGGCCCACAGGAGGTGAGGCCCCCAAAGGCCGTGCCAAAGGGAGGCAGGAGAGAGAGAGAGAGAGGCGAAAGACAAGCCGGGCGCGCTGGCGCCATATCCGATATCCTACCGCTCCCACCCATCCCTTCCGTTCCCCTTGCGCTGACCTTTTCTCTGTCCGCGGACGCGTGCCATAGAGGACCTGGAAGTCCCAAAAGGACCCATGGTCTTCTGCGCAATCGAAAGCGGGGAGCTGCGTATGGTGGAAATCGAGGTGGCGGATGAGCAGGAGGATGAGCAGGAGGGAATGGAGGAGGAGGAGGAGGAGGAGGAGGAGGAGGAAGAAGAAGGATAACGAGAACGAACAGCAGGAGGACCAAAAGAAGGCGGACGAGGGGAAAGGGGGGGCGACGACGGCGAGGAAGGGCACGGAGCAAGAGAATACTGGCCCGCGCTGGGGCGACGACGGGAGCAAGACGCCAACTCTAAGGTGAGGCCCACGCTGCAGCGGCAGCCACCGAAAACGCTCCGATGGAAAAGAGCGAGAAACTAAGAGGCCCCAAGAGGCCCCCAAGAGGCCCAACAGACGCCCCAAGAGACACCAAAACGGCCCCCTCCTCCACCTCCTCCTCCTCCTCCTCTTCCTCCTCCTCCTCCTCCTCCCCTCCCTTGCTCCCCCTCCTCTGGTTCCTCGTCTGCTGGATCGCTGTCTTCAGGGTCGGCGGCACCGGCCGTAAGGCCTTCGCAATGATGTAATCTGGTGAGAAAAAAAAGTACGCGGGGCAATCCGACCACCCATGCCCCTGGGCCGGCTCCAGGCTCGAATCCAAACGGCGCTTGAGCCCCAAAGGGAGAAGAGGGGAGGAGGGGGAAAAGCACAGCAGAGGCAAAGGCAGGGAAGGGCAATCACGTATTGGGCTCCTGGGGGGGGAAGGCAAACAACTAAGATCATGGAAATCGTTCACCTCGCCATCGTAGACATAGGAGCCACTCTTCGTCTCCAATCGTGTCAACGCGTCAGCGTTCGACCGATAGCGGAAAGAAAACAGTGCCATGGCGGCGGAGACAATCCCCTCACGAGGGCAACTGCTCGGAGAGGTGTGGCGTGGAGGCGCTCCCTCTGAACGAGACGAGCCCTGCGCAGTGATACGATGCCGAGCATCGTTCGGCGGTGGGCAAACCTCCCTTTAGTAAACCTCCATTTAGTGAAAACGGCCTGGGACCGAAACCGACGGACCTGGACCCGCAAAAATGACGGCCGCGACGCCCTCTCGCGAACCGAAAACGGCCAATTCCTCAATAGACGTGTCAGGGCAGGAGGTCTGTCCACCCCCGAGAGCATCGCGTCAGACTATATCACAACGAGAATTCGGGTCCCAACCGGACCGCTGTCGGGAAGGAGAAAAGAGAGAAGACGCACCTGAAGAAAGAAGGAAGAGGGGAGGAGACAGAAGAGGGGAGGAGACTGGCCAGAAGACGGAGAGGGCTACGGGAGAGGGAGGAGGGAAACCAATGGGAACGGGGACCGGGGAAAGACGGGAGGAGGAGGAAATGGAGGGGAGAGACAACAGAGGCAAGCGGGGAAGAGAGGGAATGGAGGGAACGAGGAGGAGGAGGACAAGGAGGAGAGGAAGAGCGAGCCGCAGGGGCACCCAGGCCGTGCGGGCGCGAGGGTCCGGCAGGGACGCGAAGATGGTCTGCACGACGACCTCGCCGCGGCTTCTTTTGGCTCGTGCGGCGGCGCTGCGTGGCGCCCTCCCGGGCGGAGGGGGGGGGAGGGCAAACCAGAGTGGGGAAGGGAGAGAAGGAGAGGAGGAGAATAGAACAGGGGAGGAGGGGAGGAGACGAGGAGAGGCGAGAGGAGGAGAGGGGAGGAGGAGGAGGAGGAGGAGGAGGAGGAGGAGGCGGAGGACCAGGACGAGGAGGAGGAGGAGGAGGAGGAAGACGAGAGGGGAGGAGGAGGAGGAGGAGGAGGAGGAGGAGGAGGAGGAGGAGGAGGAGGAGGCGAGAGCAGAGGACAGGAGAGGAGATGGGAGGCGACGCGACAAAAAAGGTGAGGAGAGGAGTCTGGCAGCGACGCGAAGATGGTTTGCGCGACCTTATTGGCAGTTGCGGCTCGGAGCCCCAGCGGCGACGCTTCACTGCGTGGGCTTAACCACATGGCCTCTGGGCGACACGAAGCAACAACCAAAAAACATGCCGAGCGTTTTGCGACACCCCGACTTCACAGGGCCGTCTCGCGCCCTGGGACCATCAAAAGACACCCGCTGCGAGAGAGCCTTGTCCCAGCGATGGGGGCCAAGAACTCTGGTGCCTTCGTCGCGGAAAAACCACAACGTCAGAGGTCGTGGGGGGACTGGCCACCATGTGAAGGGCAACGACAGCCGCAACCCGCGGATAATAAAGCATCCCCCCCTTAACCCGTAGATCTGCTTATACAAGGGATTTGCCACAAACGGAGGGGAGGCCGAACTTTACTATCCGCGTCAAAGTTTCGATCGTAACTCTGATCCTCGGGAAGATCGATCCACACTTCCGAAGAAGCGCGTTTCACGGGCGCGCGCCTTGGGAACATCCGGCCGCGCGTTTGAACCTGGGGGGGCCTCCACCGAACATTCGGCGCCGTCGAACTAGAGGGATCCCCCCCCCCGTTCCCCCCACCCCGCCCCCCCCCCGGGCGCAGGCAGGGGGGTCGAAACCCCCCCCGCCCCCCCGTCTGCGCCAGCGCCCGCGCCAGCGCCGTCGCTGGCGTTGGCGCCCGCGGCGGCGGCGGCCGGCAGCGCCGACGGCGGCGACGCGGCGACGATGACCAGAACGGAGACGACGACGACACCGACGACGACAACGACGACGACGAGGCCCCTTGTAGTTCTCTGTCCTCGGCCGCGGATGTCGGAACGCTGACGGGCCCTGACCTTACATAAACAGTCTCTTCGCATTGCGTCGCGTGCCTCCCGCGGTTTCCGTCGACGTCGTCGTCATGCTCGTCGTCGTCGTGGTTGCCGTCGTCGTCGTCATCGCCGTCGTCGTCGTCGGCTTCGTCGCGGTCGTCGTCGTCGTCGTCATCGTGATCGTCATCGCCGTCGTTGCCGTGGTCGCCGTCGTCGTCGTCGTCGCCATGGTCGTCGTCGTCGTCGTCGCCGTCGTCGCCGTCGTCGTCGTCGTCGCCAGCGTCGTCCTCGAGCTTGTCGTCGTCGTCGCCGTCGCTCGTTACCGTCGCCGTCGTCAGTGTTGCCAGCGTCGCCGTCGTCGCCGTCGTCGTCGTCGTCGTTGTCGTCGTCGCTGTCAAAGTCGTCGTCGTCGCCATCGTCTTCGTCACCGTGCTCGTCGTCGTCGTCGTTGCCGTCTTCGTTGTCGCCATCGCATTTGTCGTCGTCGTCGCCGTCGTCGTCGTCGCTGTCGTGGGCCTCGTTCCTGTCGTCGTCGTCCGTCGTTTCTGTCGCCGTCGTCGTCGTCGCCGTCGTCCCCGTCGTCGCCACCCTCGTCGTCGTCGCCGTAGCCGTCGTCGCCGTCGTCGCCGTTGTCGTCGTCGTAGTCGTCGCCGCCGTCGTCGTCGCTGTCGTCGTCGTCGTCGTGGCCGTCGTCGTCATCGACGTCAACGTCGTCGTCGCCGTCGTCTTCGTCGTCGTCGTGATCATCGTCGTCGGTGTCGTCGTCGTCGTCGTTGTCACCGTCACCGTCGTCGTCGTCGCCGTCGTCGTCGCCACCGTCGTCGTCGTCGTCGTCTTCGTCGTCCTCGTCGTCGTCGTTGTCGTCGTCGCCGGCGTCGCCGTCGTCGCCGTCGTCGTCGTCGCCATCGTTGCCACGGTTGTCGCCGCGCTCGTCGTCGTCGTTGTCGCCATCGAAGTCGATGTCGTCGTCGTCGCCATCGTCGTCGACGTCATCGTCGGTGTCGTCGTCGCCGCCGTCGTCGCCGCCGTCGCCGTCAAAATCGTTGTCGCCGCCGTCGTCGTCGCCGTCGTCGTCGTCGTCGTGGTCGTCGTCATCGTCGTCGCCGTCGTCGCCGCCGTCGTCGTCGTCGTTGCCAACGTCGTCGCCATCGAAGTCGCCATCGTCGCCGTAGTCGTTGCCGTCATCGTCGTCATGATCGTCGTGGTCGTGGTCGCCGTCGCCGTCGTCGTCGTCGTCGCCGTCGTTGTTGTCGCCGTCGTCAGCGTCGCCGCCGTCGTCGTGGTCGTCGTCGTTGTCGTCGTCGACATCGGTCGTCGTCGTCGTCGCCGTCGTCGTCGTCGCCGTCGTCGTCGCCGCCGTCGTCACCGTCGCCGTCACGGTCAGCGTCGTCGTGGTCGACGCCGCCAACTTCATCGCCGTCGTAATCGTCGTCGTTTTCGCCGTCGGCGTCGTCGACGTCGTCGTCGTGGACGTCGTCGTCGACGTCGCCGTCGTCGTCGTCGTCGCCGTCGTCGTCGTCGCCGTCGCCGTCGTCGCCGCCGTCACTGTCGTCGTCGTCGTCGTCTTCGTCGTCGTCGTCGTCATCCCTGTCGTCGTCGTCGTCGTGCTCGTCGTCGTCGTCGTTGTGTTCGTCGTCGTCGTTTTCGTCGTCGTCGTTGTCGTCGTTCTCGTCGTCGTCGTCGTCGACATCGTCGTCGTCGTCGTCGTCACCATCGTCGTCGTCGTTGTCTTCGTCGTTCTCGTCGTCGTCGTCGACGTCGCTGTCACCATCGTGGTCGTTGTTATCTTCGTCGTCTTCGTCGTCGTCATTGTCGCCGCGCTCGTCGCCGTCGTTGTCGCCGTCGAAGTCGATGTCGTCGTCGTCGCCATCGTCGTCGTCGTCGTGCTCGTCGTCGTCGACGTCGCCGTCGTCGTCGTCGTTGTCGCCATCGCCGTTGTCGCCGTCGTCGCCCTAGCCGTCGTCGTCGTCGCCGTCTTCGGCCTCGTTCCTGTCGTCGTCGTCGGTCGTTACCGTCGCCATCGTCGTCGTCGCCGTTGTCCCCATCGTCGCCGTCGTCGTCGTCGTTGTCGTCGCCTTCGTCGCCCTCGTCGCCGTCGTCGTCGTCGTCGCAGTCGTCGTCGTCGTCTTCGTCGTCGTTGTCGTCGTTGTCGTCGTCGTCATCGTGGCCGTCGTCGCCGTCATCGACGTCGACGTTGTCGTCGCCATCGCCGTCGTCGTCGTCGTTGTCGTCGTCGTCGTGCTCGTCGGCGTCGGTGTCGTCTTCCTCGTCGTCACAGTCGCCGTCGTCGTCTCCATCGTCGTCATCGTCGTCGTCGTCGTCGACGTCCTCGTCGACGCACCCCGCTTCCGCCGCTAGCCGCTCTGAATCGTCGCACCCCCCTTGAATCCGCCAAGGGGGGGGGATTCGAATCGCACCCCCTGTGAACCGTCGTCCTCATCGACGCTCCCGGCCGCCGCCGCCAGCCGCCGCCAGCGCTGGTCCCCCGATGGGGGGGGAGGGTTCGAACCCCCCCTAGGTTCCTTCCGCTGGGCTCTCATAGAGCCGCCCCCCGGGACGTTCTCCAGCGCTCTCTCTCTCTCTACCCCCCCGCTGAATCCAGGGGGGGTGGGCCGGGTTCTGTCCCCCCCAGCCCATCCAAGCGCCCACAGAACACGCTCTCTCAGACACAAGATATCCTAGCGTCGTTATCTCCGGAAGAAGACTCATTATCCTCCCTGGACCCCGAACTGTTTTATCCCCAAGGGATTATTCTCACCAGCATAGGGTTCGGGGGACCAGCTCAAGGGGAGGAAAATTGATCGGGAATTGGCCCCCGATAGCGCGTCCCCAAGTTCCTGCGTGGGCTTGGGATATCGAGCCCCCATCGGAGCTCAATGAGCGATTGGGGGTCCACGCGTTTGAACCTATCCCCACCCTATCGTTGCCCCCGAGCATGTGTGCACCACGAATGCGGATTCATCACACGCGACGATACGCATACGGATGCCACCAGCAAAGGGTTCAACTTCGTCTGCGCGCGAGCTGTCAGACAATGCCTTTGACTAAACGGTGAAAGCGCAACGCGTCCACGCGTCCACGGAACGCTGTCCACGAAAGGCGTCACCAGGCCGACGCCCACGGCCCAGGCAATCTGGGCACGCTGTGTGTCCGTCGCCCGGTCGACACACGAGCGCGTTCAAAAGTAGCTCACACCGTCGGGAGCCTTCGCTCGCAGCGCAAGGAGATAACGTCGCATCCTAAGCATCTCGCGCTGGGCGCACGGCAGCGCCCACGACCCCAGCGGCGCACCCTATCAGCGACACGGTGGGGGCACGCCCCTTGGGGGGCGCGCGCCCGCGGCCCCCGTCGGTCACACGTTTTGCCATTCCTCCAGCGACGTGCAGCACGATCGCGTCGCGTGCGGCGGGGGGCGCTAACGCAAGTTGCGTCCCGCCGCGTGGCGAAAGCAGTAGAGCAGAAACAGCAGGATCCTGGGCAAGGGGCGGGCCAAGGCGACCGGGCCAGAAGACGACGGCGCGGGTGACCAAACGAGACCATGCAACAGCAGCTTGCAGTGCCGAAAGCTGGAAGCCCACGCATTGAAGACGAATGCCCTCCCGTCAGCCTGCACTGGTTGGTGGAACGGGCGGTCAAGGCACACTCACACACACACACACACAACACACACATGTTGTTCGGTCGTCGCGGGCGGGGGACATACCTCACCGTCAAACGCCCGCGCGGCAAACCGCACGAGCGCCCCGTTGTCAAAAGAAAAATAAGGAAGAGGTCAGCGGCAGCGCCTTCCGCAAGGCGGCACGGTGGAGAAGCAAGGC